AACAGTTGTAATCATTTAGCACGATTCTGTAAGAGGAATCGCTTGAAATAGTTCCTCTGCTCTATCAACTTGTGTTTCTGCATATTGGTTATTTTTCTTTCTCGTCTTCCACTCCAGTGACTACATCTTTGAAAATTTTGGGATCGGTATGTTGTTAATCTCACAGCGTGCCTCAAAATGCTAAATATTGGAGAGTTGTAAGTTGTGACTCTCTCTTTTCTAAATGATATATTTCGACTCAAATGTCTGGGATGCATTAGCATGCCTTACACTATATAATATGTCTAAGTTTGCAGTCGTTGAAATAAGCTCGTATAATTGGCCTACGTCTGTCTAAATTTAAATATACATTGCGGTTTATTAAACTGAAGCTTGCAGAGTGTTGTTGCTGCCGGCCCTTATGATCCTGAGGAAAGTATTCCTGAAGTAGCGTCAACAGTTGGTAACGAATTTGTCACTGTGAGTGAACAACTTCTGGATGAAAACAAGGAAAATCAAGGTCTTATATCAGCTTCTGAAGGTTTGTCACTTCTTTGTATGTTATCGTGATTATACACGTTTTTATGTACTTGTTGCTTTCAATAACACTGATTGAGTTGGTTTTAAATTAGTAGTCTCAATTGGTGTCGGTCGCTACATTCGCGCGATCGTGTGAATCCGGCCGCTTGTGTACGAGTACACATACAGCGCAACGATTTTAGAGTCTCAGTCTTTAGAACGATAATCTCTGAACTTGTAGGTCGTAGTTCAGTTTAATCGGCACACTTTGGGTGAGAAAGGAAGAATCTATCAATCAATGAGAAAATGCTACGTATTCTTTTTAATATTATGAATTTACCTTCATTTGGTTCTGAATATAGATTAAACTTATATTTGGAAAGCGAACGTACTTGGTCAACAACAACCAGGGCGTTCTAAAAGAGATGTAAAGAAAGAAGAAGCAATAATTTACAAGGTTCATAGTTTTTCTGAAAATAGCATTTTGGAAAGGAGCTTGAATCATGTAAGCTATTGCTCTGCGTTTAGGTGGAGGAGGCGCTCGAAAGTACATACTGTATTTTGCCAAATGATAAGTGTGTAGTCTAGGAAACAGTTGTGGAAGCTTTTTTT